ACGAAACACGCATTTTGCAATCTTCGGGACTGATTTGAAGTTTTGAAAAAAAAAAAAACATACATTATTGTGTAAATATTTGGGCAGCATTTCCCCATAAATATAAGCTTCCCCAAAGCCAAAATAACCTGTTGAATATGATAAATTATAAATGCATTGCAATGCCAATAATAAACATATTGCAACACCAATAATGTTGTGTATCTATTTTACAACAACCAAAACAACCAACATTTCATATACTAGGAGTCACTGGCCTCTTCAACTTGTACTCGCTCTAAATTTCGACCGCAAGTTCCAACCAGTAAGCTTCTACTTTTTCTTCAGCGAGGTATTCTAACGGGATTCTGCGGACAAGGTATTCGATAAATTTGTATGTGAAAAGTCTGCAGTCACCTAATATAAGGTTGTGGACCAACCACTTGGGACGAACGATTGGCCACGCACAGTCAAATTTATCGCCTAGATGGTTGAATAAACCTGTGTACTTCAAGAACTTGGGTATCATGACAGCGATTGGCTCCACTTGTCTTTACATCTGTTGATCTCTGTACATCATAACAGCTGAGTCATACACCTTTATGTTGAATTCAGATAAATCAACATAAAGCGCAACCCAGTGCTTCCTCTCAATGTTAAAAGGCATAGTGAAGCCCTGCGCGCCATCCCATTTCTGACCAATTATGCGCTTATGTCCACAGACATATTTATCTAGGTCGTTGTCAAACGTATACGTTGCCAATTTCTTTTTATTGGTGTAGAATCGCGCTCTCAACTTTTGGCAAAATATATCATCTAGGATGACAATATTGTGATTGAACTGCCCTTCAGGTGCCCTTGACCTTCTAATCGATAGAAGACCCCATGCCTCGTCAATTTGCTATAAGTTATAAAAAAATTAATTCAGTATAATGATAATGGTATAAAAAATAGGACTATAAATTTAGTAAATATGTTGTGATTACTTACATCATAGAACAACCATTCACCTAGCTTCAAGATGATCTGAAAGAAGTCCTTCCTCCAATCTCCAAAACCGCACTCAATCAGCTCAGAGTCCGTACTAGAATCAGCGAACCACTTGTTGAAGGCCTCGACAGCATCGTTAAAGGTCCACATCTTCTTCCTCACGTTACGCAGGGGATCTGTGTAAGGCGACTCAATATACTTGTTGGGCCTCTTAATTCACTTTTCATTCTTCGATTCAGACTCTGGCTCTGAATGAACCTGTTGCTCAAGCTGATCCTCAGGCTCTGGCTGAACCTGAGGCTCAAGTTCTGCCTCATGCTCAAGCTGAACCTGAGGCTCAAGCTGAACCTGAGGCTCAAGTTCTGCCTCAGGCTCAAGCTGAACCTTTGGGTCAAGTTCTTCCTCAGGCACTGGCTTTGGCTGTAATTATTGTTTCGCTAGACATGCTATATTGTCCTTAATTTCTCTAACAGATACGTCTAGCGAGTCTAGCCTCTTGTTGATGGCTTCAAAATGTCTACTATTGTACTCTACCATCATGTGATAGAGTATGTCAACTATGTGATCAATAGACATACCATCTTGCTTGCTCGGCTGTTGTTGTTGTTGTTGTTGTTACTGTTGTTGTTGCTGCTCAGGTTGTTGTTGTTGTTGCTGTTGCTGTTGTTGTTGCTGTTGTTGTTGTTGTTGTTGTTGTTGTTGTTGTTGGGGAAGTTGCTGTTGTTGTTGGGAAAGTAGTTGTCGACGAGCCAATTGTTTCGGAGGCTTCGGTTGCTGAACATGGACCATTCTTGCACCAGAGTCCAAAAATGATGCAAGCTGGTCAATCTCAGGATCTTCTTGGTCGGCATAAGGCATATACAACCTCATGCACATACTATTCATTTCCTCCTCAGTGGGATAAAGAATTGGTACGGCCATACCCTGTATATTAAAAGAACATACATTCAATGATTATTTAGGTGGAAACATATTGTAAAAAAAAACAAATATGCCTATTTTGTAAAATTTACACCTATAAAAATATTGTATTTAAACCCTTACCTCGCCACTGTGCATGAGGTATCTATTTGTCTAACCTCGACCAATGAAACCCGGCGTGCCTCCCATTTGAGGATTCTGGGAAGACGTCCATCAACCATCTTTGCAAACGTGGCACCGATGGTTGGAAATGTTTCGAATGCCCAAACCTGCGTTAAACCAATTTTTTTAAGTCTAGTAAACCAATTATGGTATTATTTACTATAAGGCCATGAAAAATTATGCATATAACTGTATGACATACCTGGAAGGCCCAAGGAAACCCGCATATTGAGTAGGTTTCCTTAATGCTCTTATTACGTCCTTTCCGAACCCATTTCTGGAATTTCTCTCTCAAGTTCTTCTTCAAAGCCTGCAGAGTGCATTCAAAAGACACCCTGCCCCATGGATAGCTGTTGAAGAATTCTAAATCGTCAACGTAAGACAGCCAATCCAGTGGGACGATCTTCTTCTTGTCCCCAGATAATAATACTTGTGCTAAAAAATAAATGATAGCGATCTTTGCTTTATCGCTACCTTTTATCTTCTTCCCTGTGAGTAATTTTCTTAAATCAGCAACAAGTACTACGTGGGACTTAAAATGCTCCAATAATCTTCTATTCTTTGAAGCTTTCAAGATCACGTCCGGCTCTGGAGTTTCCCCGCAGTTCAATCCAGTAATTAATATAAATTCCCTCATTCCAAACCTAGTTGTGGTTCCATTAACCATGAACCACAACTCATGTCTCTTTTTTATTTCTATCCGCCTCAAAAGCATATACTGTGTCAACACTCCAAAATAAATCATATTTTCAGACATCGAAATAAAATGTCCGAAGGCAGACTCCTTGAAAATTGGCATTTCTGTTTCGGGGTCTAGATTCTGCCTGATTACCTCCAAAGCCTCGATCTTTGACTTCATAGTCACTTTCACTGGGAAATACTGCCGCACAGGATCCATGATCATCTTTAGATGTCCGATCCCAGGAAGTTCACCTGTGTTGTACTTTGGGAGGTCATACTGAAAAAGAAGAAAAAACACACCAGTCAGAACCGACCAAAACAACAGAACTGACCAGAATAGACCAAAAAACCAACAAGAACCGACTGAACTGACCATGACCCGACCCAAAATCCCCGTAGAACTGACCAAACAGACAGAATCGACCAAAACCGACCAGAACCGACCAAAACTGACTAAAACTGACCTAAACCGACCAAGAACCGACCACCAACCGACCAAGAACTGACCTCACCAAGAACCGACCCCTCTCGACAAGAACCGACTAAGAACCGACCACCAGAAACGACTTAAAACTGACCTAGAACCGACTGAGAACAGACCAGAACCAAAACCGACTAAGAATCGACTATGAACAGACCAATGTTGCTTATATTAAGTTTTTGTTCTTGCAAAAATATATAAGAAAAAGTAAAACAAGAATATTACCTCAGCAGATTCCGTTGCCTCGTCAACAACTATTTGGGAAATGACCGTTTTAGTTGAGGAAGAAGAGCTGGTTTTTTATGCCATTTTAGTCAGATTTTGGTAAGCAGGTGGTCGGTTTTTGTGGTCGGGAATTTGGTGAGTGGTCGGGGTCAGTTTTTGGTCGGTTTTAGTGGGAAGGGAGTCAGTTTTTGATGAACGGTCGGTGTTTGGTGAGTGGTTGGTCGGTCGAGATGAGAGAGATCGGAGAGTGGATCGGAGAGAGAGAGAGAGAAATAGGTGAGAGGAAAGCCGGCGGTCAGTCGTGAGGTTGGTGACTGATCGGAGAGAAAAGCCGGCAGTCGGCGAGAGGTGATCGGAGAGAAAAACCGGTGGTCGGTCGTGAGAGAGCGCAGTCGGGGGAGCGAGGGTCGGGCGGTCGGTTTCGGGGGGAAGAGAGGGTCGAGCGGCGGTCGGTTTTGTGAGGAATGAGATTTTTGAAAATGACCTAGGACTAATAGGACCCATTTTTTGCCACGTAAGATACACATCATCATTTTTTTGTTATAAAAAAAAACTGGTCTATTTCCTCAAATTCTGATTTTCTCCGGTCTCTTTTATCAAATTTTCTCAACTCTCAGCCTCTCAGCCTCCCCTCGTGTTGTCTCGCCTCAGCCTCTCAGCCACCTCTCGTGCTCTCTCGCCTCAGCCTCCCTCAGCCTCTCTCAGTCCAGCCTTCGCTCTCTCAGCCAAAGCTCTCTCCCTCCGTTTATCTTTCTTCTCTCTCTCGGACTCCTTCTCTCCGTTTATCTCCTGCGATTGTCGGCGGCGGAGTCCCCAAAATCTCTGTTCGTCGCTGGCTGAGACCGGATCTGGTTGGAGCTCACAATCTCTGCATTTGTAAGTACTCGATTGAGCTTTTTTTTTTTAATGTCGATTTGGTGTTGGTGGTTTTGAATGTCGATTTGGGTTTCCAGATTTTGTACAAATTTTTTCTTCGACAGCCATTTGATCTCGTAAGCTACATCTTATTGCCTTTTACTCCGAATCTGTTGAGTTCTGTTTCGTTCCTTGAAATTGCTAATCGCTGCATATTATACCCTTTTCCTTATGTTGATCTTTATCGCTGAATTCTATCTCGATGACAAAATGTTGTGCAAAAGCTGAGATTATAGGACAAATTTTGCAGTGCTTTTACTTTACTGTATAGTAATTGTTTCTGGTGTTTTGGTTCATCTGGGCATAGTATGAATGCCATTGAAGAAACAAGAAGAACGGCAAAGAAATGGTCAAGATTAGGAACCAACCATTTGAAATGCAACTGCTAATGTTAATGAAATTAAAAAAAAAAACAAAAGACATTAAGAAATTAAAAAAAAAAAAAAAACGTAAGAGAGAAGAACATGACCAATTGTTAATTGGGATTTTGAATATTGAGGTTGAGTTCGTTAGAGCTTTAAGTTTCATACCATGTCTATTTTGGTCATTTTACATACCCACAGCAATTCTTACATTAATTTTGAAACCAGCACAACTACTATAATTATAATTTTTGTTTTGTTTTTTTCAGCAGCGGAAGATATCGATGGAGATCGATAGAATCGATGGGCGAACGCCGAACCAGTTGAGACCACTCACTTGTTCTCGCAACGTTCTTAACCGTGCCCATGGCTCTTCCAGTTGGTCCCAAGGTTTCTTTCGTCTCTCTAATTATTGACTCATCTTTCATTTTCTCTTTCGAGTTTGAGAACTTGAGTTAAAAAAGAAAAAACTTGTCGGAGAAAAAGTTAAAATTTAAATTTTTGTGAGAAAATATTAACGAGAACTTGAGTTAAAAGAAAAAACGTAGAAAAATTAAAATTAAAATTTTTGCCAGAGAAAACATTCAAACCAGTCAATGAACGGGTCCGAATTCTCTCTCTCTTGAACTTCCAATATTGTATCATAGTTCTGAAGGGATTTTGTTTGTTTTGAAATGGGCTACTTTTGTTAGAAACTTATGTTTAGTTTTTTTGTTCAATAGGGGATACCAAAGTTCTTGCTGCTGTTTATGGACCAAAAGCAGGAACAAAGAAGAACGAAAACCCTGAGAAGACTTGTATTGAAGTTATTTGGAAACCTAAAACTGGGCAGACTGGTAACTCTCTATTCTTTTTTCTTTCAATAAGATTTTCCATGTTATTAATAGTATAAGGTTCTTTTTTTTTGGGTGGTGCTACATTTTGATCAGTAGAAAAGATGCATATAGTTTTATTTACTTTTCTTTGTTAATGTGAATATAAAATTAGGTCTTTAACACACCCTTTTTCTGTTAGAGGCTGTGAATCCAAACTTGTTTGGAAATCTCTCGGTAAATACATGAAAATGGGATTTAACAAACTATATAATATTTCGGGAGAACTTAGTGATGGGAACGCTTGTTGTTGGTGAATAAATCTTATAATTGAACGTATTTGGAAGTGATTATTTCTTAATGGATAGTGAAATGAATCAAACTTAAATGAATTGCGTTTAGCTTTTGCTTGGTTTGTCGTTCCACAAATGGAAACGTTTTTTATTTCTCTGTTTCTTTTGAGATTTTGGCTATTGCTGATCACTGTTATGGGATACGACACATGCATTTTTTGTGTATGATTTTCTCTTGCAATATAATGCATATTTATATTATTCTTATTGCTATTTGCTAAACTTTCTTCATATGTTAGGAAAATCAGAAAGGGAGTACGAGATGATATTGAAGAGAACATTGCAAAGTATCTGCATTTTGACCGTCAATCCAAATACAACAACATTAGTTATAATACAAGTGAGTTCATTTTCCCCTTTTATATTCCGTGAATATATTTGATTCTTATAAATTGCCCTGGTATTCGTGTTTGGTGTACCATTCATCACTACTCTCGCTCTCTCTTTTTTCCCCCTTATTACTGCAGTTTTGCTTCCTCTTCAGTTAGTTGTTATTTATTTGTTTGATATAAATCATAACCTTTTCCTAGTTTTTAGCTTTGATTTCTCAGCATCATGGAACATCATAAATGTTAGGCTTTGTTTTAAATATTGTAAATCAAAGCCGCTAACTGCATTTTTTTTTTTTTTCCTTGGATATGCTGCCTGTAGTATTCAAAAATTGCTGATTTAGTAAATGGCTTCTTACTTATGACCATTAAGTTTCCTGTTTCTTTGCAGGTTGTCAACGATGATGGTGCAGTATCCTTCAAAGGTTACGCTTTTTATTAACATTGTAGCTTTTCCAACCGGATTTTAAAGCAGTATTTCAACCTATTTTGCACTGTAACTTATATTACTAATATTTCGTTATGTTTCTTTTTGTATGAAGGAATTTTTGGTTTCTCTTTTATAGGAAACACAGTATTTTTCAGAAGGTTAAAAAGTGACAGTTGAAATAAAGGTTTCTCCTGAATGCTTTACTTTGAAATTCGTATTAAAGATTCTAAAAAATCATAGAAATCAGTATTTCACTGTATAGTTAATCAGGGCATGAGTAATAGTTACAAGTTTGACTTATATATTCAAGGAATCTTGTTCAACTTTATATAATTTGGGGGTTCACCATTCTTGGAATGTTGACATCTACTTTTGTAGCTCTGTCAAGTGATACAAGTTTGACATGTATATTCAATGAGCCATGCTGTCTTTGCATGTATAAAGAGGCTTTTTAGTGTGGTTCGACATCTTAACTTTTACTAGATTTTTGCTCTATCTTCTCAAATTGTCATTTGTACCTTGACTTGATACTCGTGTAGCTTCTCCCTTGTTCCATAAACGCTGCATGCGCTGCACTTGTAGATGCTGGAGTTCCTCTAAAACATCTTGCTAGTAGTAACACTTATGTTTGTCTCGGTTTTGCCCTCTCTTTATTGAATGTTTGCTGACTTTATAATTGGATTGCACAGTTGCAATATGTTGCGGTCTGGCAGAAAGCGGATATGTTATACTGGACCCTGCCAAGCTAGAAGAACAGGTTAATGAATTTCATAGTTAAATTTACTTTGTCCATGGTCATAGTATGTCTTTCACTCTACTGGATATCTCCTTGCAGTTTAGGACATATGTAGCGGCTCATTTTGTGTTTGTATACAGAGTTTTGGTCTTACCTTGTTTCTGTTTCATAATGGCAGAAAATGAAGGCTTTTCCATATCTCGTCTTCCCAAACTCAGTTCTCTCAGTCCTTCCTGAAGGATCACCAAAGGTAGAAGGTGAACTCATGGAAAATGGGATCATCACGTCTGTTACACAGGGTGCAATGGCAGGTAACTCTTAATAACCGTCATTCTTGTTTTATCCCTACATTCTTGATCTTCACTGTTTCGTACTTTTCTACCAGTAAAAACTGATATTAGCCTTAGCTTTTTTGTCTTTTCTTGAGCTTAACTTTGTCCAAGTAAACAAGTAAATATGCATATCATACTTCAACTTGCCAATATTCACTATGTAATATAGGAAACAAGCTGGGGAAATATACGTCTCCTGAGCTAAAAGTCGTCTCATGGGTCCTAAAAAAGTGTGAGTTTAACAATGAAGTAATTTTCTGATTAGCAGTATTGTTTTTTTTTGTTTTGTTTTAGTGGACAACTACTTCCACTGTCTAGAACGAGGGCGTGCGGCCAATGAAAAGATGTCTGCTTTTCTCAGGAGGAGTTTGCAACCCCAACTCCCGGGTTGACTCAATTAAAGCCGGGTGTTTGGCCTGGCATAACGTAGCAGCTGTATTTTACAGTTTTGAATCATTAGTTGGATTTCAGTTGGAACCAGAACGCCACCATTTCCTGTGGCTGCAGTGACCTTAGTTGGGGTGGGTTTAATAATAATTATTACCATATCCTGATAGCATAACTGTATTAAAAACCTCAGCCCAATATAATGCAAAAATTCCAGTTAGCCCTCTTGCTGTGAAATTGTGCACTTCTCCCTCTTTTTTCAGGGTATTTTTAAGATGCGGAATCTGGTCGATGGTAAACATGAAACTGAAATTTTAAAAGAACAACCACAACATGTGTAAAATGTTTTTAAGGGCATCGTAAAGAACATTTTGCTCAAGATTGTGAATTCACAACATATATAGCATCTGTTAAGTTCCAAATGCCGAATAAGTCGATAACAGAAGCTTTGTTACACGTTTTACTTTACAACGTTGAGCACATTGCATCTCCAATCCAAGTTGAATATTTCTGCTTCATATTAGAACCTCGGGCAGTTTAAAAATGCAGCCTTGTTGGAATCTTTCTGGACAAACTTCACATTATTATGTTGTATGAGATCTGGTTCTCAAAAGCATTGATGATAAAGGTCTGAAAGAGTTATTCAATAAGAAACATAAATCGTTTGTTTTCAGGACTTGCCGAGTGGAGGTTGTCTAAAACATACGAAACAATTATGTTTCAGATTATCAGAATTCACAATATAAGAACGTGTTGTGAATGGAAACTAGTGCAAATACTAGCTACTTACCCTGGTCTGTGTACCAAAACCTCTGAGAGCATGACGTATATCGCATGGGACTAGTCGGGCTCGTTCCAGATACCCACTGGTAAAAAAAAAAAAAAAAACCATATCAAACAAAATATCATGATAAAAGCTTTGCATTCGTAAAATAAATCTGGGAATTTCATGCCCAAAATTGTTGTATTGTACACAATTCTAATTGGTTATAGAACATTGATTGCTAATGCTAACTAGTGATCAGACAGAGTTCAGTCCCTAGAGAACTCTGCATCATGTCATACCTGAGATCCTTTTGGATTCCTTTTCATCAAACCTTTTCAGTGATTACTTCTCACTTGAGCCTCTCCACCACCTGAGGAGCCGAGCCAGTGAACTTTACCCAGTCTAATCATCAACCAGCTATACATAACATATACAGTTACTGTCACATACACAGCCAGTCAAATTGTGCCCTGTACCATTTGCATTCGCCTTGCCGGAAAATAGATTGCTTAGTTTTCAAGCAAACCTCAATACTGCTATTGCCATCAAAGTTGCAGCTCTGAAATAGATATCTTTCACACTCTTGTCCACTTTGTTCATCATTTCCTCTTCCTTCAAACCCAGCTTGCCTTGGTTCTTGTTGACGTAGACAATTGTGTCCCTCAACTTATTAACTGCCTAAGAGAGCCAAAAAAGCCCAAATCCTAATCCGGTGTTGAAGAGTCTTGTAGTGCAAAAGGGTACCCTCGAACAAGCTAATTTACACATGACCCAGAAGAGAACGGCCATGCCA